GTAGCAACCACAAGCAGCTAATTGAGGACAGGATTGCTCGGGGCTGCTGTTTATGGAAGATTAAATAGCACTTGAGTCTGGGACTTTTGCAAGCTCTATGAAAATATAGTTCCATGTACACATCCCGGAAAATAGGTAAAAGCTAAGTAGAAAGCAATTTTTTATCGCAGTGTTCATTCGAATATTTTCCAGAAAATTAACTACTTTACAGATACCGTTCAGTTGTGTGTGTTACTGATGACGATAATTCAAAGCTGTGGGGCACATGTAGGTATTATTTATAACGCCTCAGCTGGGGCTATGTAAGAAATTTCTGTCTCCCAAGAGGAACTGGGACGAGGTCAGCGTCATCCATTTTGGAGACATTAAAATTATTCTTCTGGCCAACACTGGAAAGTGGCAAAAGGTATGGGAGAGCAATTCATATAATACTTTAGAAAATAAACTCTTTGAGTTTTCAAATATTGGTGATGTTGGGGCTTTCTTCATATCTTATAGATATGCTCCCAATGGAGTCACTGAAACACCTCTCCAGACTATCCTTTTTACCAAATAAATGATAGTAAATTATAGCAGTTAACAGCTCTTAGCACCAATATTAACTTAATGGCCAAAGCAAATTTAAAAAAAAAGAAAGAAAATGCACATTTATTATTCACGTCTGAGTCTACTATATTGAGGCAGAACTCCATTTCTCATTACAAATTTCAAAAGCATTTGCTATCTGCATTAATCCTGTCTTGATAATATACTTCCTTGATTGCTCTATAGCTGGTTCTCATTTCCTTTAGCAAGACAATAAGTTCCTTAGGTAAAGCAGTCTTTTATACCCAGTCTACACAAAACATTATTATGTTTTTCTTATATTTTTCATTATGCTTAACTGACAACACCTGCTAGGTATGTAGTAAATTTTCCTTAAATGTTTTTGACTGAGTTATGTTAAAACTATTGTTATATACTAAGAACAGGGATTAAGAAGAAAACCACTGCAATCAGAATGAGTCCCCATTTAGAATTAAAGGAATCTGTACCTTTACACCAATACTTTATATGGAGCAGCTCAGGAGAGAAAAGTAATTAGTATTCTAATCAATTTCATTTGGTTATATAGTCTGATTTAGTTATAAATTCTATTTTTATTTCGAAGAAGCTATCCAGGAAAAGTTTATCGACATAAGGACCATCTTGCTCGGTGATAAGAATCTCATTGCCAATAATTGTTTCTGAAAATTTCAGTAACAGATTCAGAATTTTTTTTTTTAAGATTTTATTTATTTCCCCCCCCAAAGCCCCAGTAGATAGTTGTATGTCATAGCTGCACATCCTTCTAGTTGCTGTATGTGGGACTTGGCCTCAGCATGACCAGAGAAGCAGTGCCTGGTGCGCGCCCAGGATCTGAACCGGGCCACCAGAAGCGGAGCGTGCGCACTTAACTGCCAAGCCACGGGGCCGGCCCAAAATTTTTTTTTAATTTTATGAATTAGTAGAAAGCTTAGCAAACCTATGGAATTTCAATAACAAGTTTCTAGAAGCCACCTAGTTGACAAATTAAATCTAAAATACTCCTGAGAACTTGGAAGAAAGCCAAAAGGGCTTTAAGAACTAAAAGAGGTGGCAAAAAGTCCATGCACCAAAGACCTTGTTCATGGGAGAGCTCTTCACATCTTCACTTAGATTATTCACGCAATCTTAATAAGTTTGGTTATGCTGTTTTCCTAGACCACAGCATATGAGAAGTAACAAATCAGAATGGAGCAGGATGCCATTAAAACAGCGAATGAGTTGAGGCAACCTGGTGATAAGGAGGATAGGAGAACTATAAAAAGTATCCCTAAGGACAAAACCCCCACAGCATTCTGAGGCCTTTTAGTACAGAGGCAAAGCACCAAAAGGCAATAAAGATGTCACTCATTGTAACTTAGTACAATAAGTGAGGTCCCTAATGGATCATAGGATATTCAGCATCAGAAGGAAGCTTAGGGATCCTTGAGCCCAACTTCTCACCCCATCAGGAACCTTCTCCACAAAATCTCTGTCCAATGGTCATCCAGTTTCTGTTCTAGAAATTTCAGTAAACAAAAGCCTCAAAAGCAGTCCTTTTCATTTTTGGTACCGTTTTATTTAACTGTGACATCTCTCTTCATAAAATTGTACCTATTTTATAGTTCAGTCGTCTGCAACTGTACAGAATAGGTCCAATTTCTTTTCTGATAGGTATTCGAAGATTTGAAGTCAAGTTTTATTGCTCCTCTTAACTATTCTCTTCTCCAGGTGTTTGTTTAATCGCCCATATAACGTGATTTTCAAACCTTTCACCATCTCAATCACCCCTTTTCAGATATACTGCAGTTTGTCAATGTTGCTCTTACACTGTGGGTCTAGAATTCAACTCCAGGTTTGTCTGGATCAATGTGGAATAAAACAGAACTAGTAGTTCCCTTAACTTAGGTTTAGGGCGTATATTTCTGTAGCCTAAAAATGCATTAGCAGCTTTGTAATGTAGGCTGATATTGTGCTTGAAGCAAACTAAAATCCCCTTTTCATCTGTTGATGTCCTTAAAGAGCCCTTAATAAAAGGTAAAATATATTTTGTTTAACTAGAAGGAAAGAGTTCCATTAAAATACATTGCAGGTAGTAAGCATTCAATAAATATTAATTTAAAGAAAAAATCAACAAATTCAAATTGTTAAATTTGAAAAATGGTTAAAAATTTTAAAAGAATCTGTTATTCCTGAATGGGATACATATCTATTTTCTGAAAAAATAATCACTTTTACGGAAAATTGACTCTTCAATAATGCTGTATACATGTGATGTTACTATACATTTCCAAGGAAAGGGAGGACTTGGAAATACTAATATTTGTAGTATACCTCATATCTTTCCTCCATGGAACTATAAACATTATCTCATTTATTCGTGAAGCATCAATGTGTGGGAGAGAACATCAATGTGCGGAGAGAGAAAGTGATGTGAAAGATGTAAGTGCCAAACTTAGACCATCCAGTAAATATATGCTGGAGATAGGACATAGGTTTGCAGATTTTTTTAAAAAAAATCATTGCTTATCCGTCAATTTTCCACGAATATGATCCTATCTCTCTTTGAACTAGAAGACTATTGGGAGAAAATGAAATGGAGAAGTGTTTCCATTGTAATAATCCTATATTTTGTTTTCTACCTGGTCTATGCCCTTCAAATGCCCTTTAAAAACATCATCTTGGGAATTTCCTTAAGCTTTAATCTAAGCCTCCTGCCACTGGCACTGTTTCTTATTTCATGTGCTTCCTGGCTACAGCTGCTCATTCCTAGGAAGGGAGTGAAAGCCTTTGAAAATACATGTGTTCCTTCAGGAAGGTAAGCGGTACTTTTCTTTAAAAAAAAAAAAAATGCACGCGTACTCTCTCATGTTTAAATTAATTATATGGAGCCTAAAAGGTTCAAACAGACAAGAACAGTTCTGTTGTTATTACAGAGATAGCTGCTCTGGATAGCACTGTATTGACACAAATTTTAAACACTTTCTCCTCTAAATAGCTCTTAGCTAAAACTTCCTATACATATTGCTATTTCTGGCACTGATGAAAAGATGCTCAGAGACAAATTACTACTTTTTTAACTGTAGGGAAATAGATAAAGAAACAATTACCAAAGGCCTCATGAGGATGAAAGAACTGTAAACAGTATGGGTGATTCCTTTTATTTATTTATATCTTTTATACAGTAGTGTAGTGGTTAGGAGCATGGACTACGAGGTTTGACTCCCCAGGTTCAAATCCTGGCTCTGCCACCTACTAACTGTGTCTGTGAGCAAGTTATTTAACCTCTTGGTGCAACCATTTCCTCATCTGGCATATAGGAATTATAATAGTACCTATTTAATAAAGTTATTATGAATATTAAATGAGTTAATATTTATGAAGCAGTAGAAAAGAGCAAGTCACATAGGAAGCACTTTAAGTTTTGTTAAATACATAAAATAGTAAAATACAAACCCATCATGTATGTACAATCTCTTTTGACCTGCCCTGGAATTCCAGCTTCAAGTTATATATAGATGTTTAATAGGCAGAGGCCAAATCGTTGCCCTGGCTTCATTTTAAATGCTGCTTTAGGGGCCGGCCCAGTGGCTTGGCGGTTAAGTGCGCGCACTCTGCTGCTAGCGGCCTGGGTTCGGATCCCAGGTGCGCGCCAACGCACTGCTTCTCCGGCCATGCTGAGGCCGCGTCCCACATACAGCAACTGGAAGGATGTGCAGCTATGACATACAACAATCTACTGGGGCTTTGGGGGGAAAAAAATAAATAAAATCTTTAAATGCTGCTTTACATCTAGGAAAGGCACCACGCAGGAGATGAAAGTCTGAAGCAACAAATCTCTAGCTAGAGGGAGAAGGGAATTAGCACTGATGGAGCAGCTACAATTTACCAGGCGCAATAATTCTCACGACAACTCTCTAAGGTTGGGTTGTCAACCCCTTGATGAGGAACCTGAAGCTCAGAGAAGTTAAATACCTGAGTCAAGGTCACGGAAGCTAAGTAAACGGACAAGTCAGGATTTGAACTCCCATGTGTCTGACTTTAAATGGAGAATTCTTTCCACTTCCTCTTTCGAGAGAGGTGGCATAGTAAGGGAGTTAAAGGAAGGGATCAAGACTAGACCGCAATTTCCCCATTGGTAAAAACACTCCTAGAATGTTTTCTACTTTAACAATCACAGTTTAACCCATGGACCTCATGGGTTTAACCACTACCTGCCTTGCTTACTCCCAAATCTCACTCGTGAGCTTCAGGGCTTCCCATTGTCAATGGACAGCTCTACTTAGATACCTCAAGTTCAACACATTCAAAACTAAACTCATCCTCTACTGGATCAACACAAAAACTTCTGCAGAACACTCATGTTCAGTGAGATATACTAAGTGTTCTAAGGAAAAAGAGTTCTGTAGTCAAATAATTTTAACACTAGGTTAAACAAACTTAAATGAGATTTCTCAGAATCTTTAATATGCTAAGTTCATTTCAAATCTCCAAGAAATGGATATAATATTACATTAGGATTGCATTCAGTTGCATGAACCCAACTCAGTAGCTTAACCAGATTGAGATTTTCTTCACATGACAAGAGGTCAGGAGGTATACAGTCCAGTAGAAGTGTAGCTGCTCAAGGAAGTCATCAGGACTTCTGCGGTTTTCTTCCTTTTGGTCAAAAGATGGCTGCTCCACCTCCAGGACTTGTGTCTCCATTCTAGGCAAGAGTAAGGGAAAAAGAGAGAAGGAAAAAAGATATGCCAGCTAAGTCTTAACAAGCTTTCCCAGCAGCCTTGCCCGCCTGCTTATATCTAGTTGTCCAGAACTGGGTTATGTGGCCTCTCCAGACCCTGAGGAAGTCTGGGGAGGTGACTATTTTAATTGGGCACCTTGCCACCCTTAAGAAAATCAGGCTCCTATTAGAAAGAAAAGGAGGTTGAATATCGAGTGGACAACTAGCTGTGTGTGTCATCAAAAGCTAGCAATTTCACGAATGTATTTGGCTCAAGCACCTATTAACATATTCCCTGGCTCCCCATCGTTGACAGATGGAATTCATGCTGCTTGACTTGGCACCCAGACCTTCTGCGATGTACCATTCCTGCCACAGGCTCTCTAGCTGCACTCACAGTGAACTGCCTGTAGTCTCGTTTTTCTACTTTCTTCTCTCCTTCAGGAATGTTTGAATGAATGCAAGTTTTATTGCAAGCAGAGAAGGAATCTTCTTTAAAAATGATTAATTATCGTTAGAATACATGATATTCCTATTTTGGACAGAACTCTGTTTTTGATAATGAAAACATATAAAACCATATTAACTTTTTTAAACAATATTAAAATTTATATTAAAAAGAATCCTGAAGCAGCAGGAGATTTCTCCGTCTACGAATGACCCTATGGGAAGTTTGCTCTGTGGAAATATCATATTCTCTGGCCTCCCACCACCCAGCAGGAGAAAAGAAGGAGGTACAGATTACTATCTCTTACCCTGAAAAAAAAAAGTCAAAACCTGCAGACCTGAGGTAATAAATAGCTAAAGCCAGTAGTTTCAAATTCTTTTCTCAATCTCACTGGTGCGGTCCTGGGTATAGTACTTTTAAATACACCAAGAGAGTCAAAAATCCTTATGGTTTCCTAGTGTATACTTTTTTTTTTAGTGTACAAAAGGATATTCGATTGCCCCTTTATGGACTCAAAATACCCTGCAATTAGTAAATAAATGTCTTGAATATGCATATCATCCAAAGGGATAAGTAACTAGAGTCCTATATAGGAATAAAAACTCCCCTATGCAAATCTGGACGAACTGTTCTAATCTGCTTACTCTTGATAGGACATTTTTCCCTATTATAACCAATAACAATAGCTAGCATTTATTGGGGACTTAATATGTGGCAGGCCCTGTGCTAAACACTCTACATACGTTTTCACCCTCAATCCTCAGTCACCTAGGGAGAGACCTTCAATCATCATCTTCACTTTACAAATGAGAACTGAGACTCATACGGCAGAGTTGAGACCATAACCTACGCCACAGGCCTCCAAAGCCCGTGAGCAAAACCGTCATGTCCATAATAAGTCTTTGGGAAACACAGAAAAGCAACAAGAAGGGCAAACCTGTCATCCCAAGAAACAAGTTTTCATTTTGGTATATTTCTTTCTGATTCTTATTTCTATTCATACAACTTTTGTTCCATACTTTTTTCACTTATTATTAAGTTATTAGAAATTCTCCCAAAATATCCATTTTCATGGCCATATACTGTTCCAGCAAATGCATACGCTTTGTTCTACTTAATGCCACACTTATTTGGACACTTGAGCTATTTTCAGATTTTTGCTATTATACTTTATACTTTTATAAATATTTCTGTGAACTAAATATTTTCTTAATCTGGGATTATTTCTTTATAATCGTTAAAATGGAAATACCAAGTCAAAGGAAAGGTACATTTAAGGCCACATTGCCAAATTTCTTTTCCAAAAGGGTTGTATAAATTTGTACAACTACCACTAATATATAGTGTGTGTTTCACCTCACCCATACCACCACTGGATATTATACTTTAGAAATATAAATGTCCTCATTCAGTATGTGAAAAGTGCTATTTTTTATTTGCATTTATTTGATTGGATTATATGTAAAATTAAACATTTTTTTCTATGCTTGCTAATCAGTTTTATTTCATCCTTCTTACTAGTTTCCTAAGGTGGAAACTTAGGTTTTGATTTGAGACCTTTCTTCTTTTCTAACACATGTTTAATGCTATAAATTTCCCTCTAAGCAAATTTATTTTGCTGTGTCCCACAAATTTTGATAAGTTGTACTTTTATTTTTATTTAATATTTTTAAATTTCTCTTGAGATTTCTTCTTTGCCTTATGGGTTATTTAGAGGTATGTTGTTTAACTTCCAGATATTTGGGGATTTTCTAGCTATCTTTCTGTTATTTATTTCTAGCTTAATTCCACTGTGGTCTGAGAATGTACTTTGTATGATTTCTATTCTTTTAAGTTTAAGATGTGTTTTATGGCCCAGAATATAGTCTATCTTGGTGTATATTTCATGTGAGTTTGATAATAACATGTGTTCTGCTATTGTTGGGTGGAGTATTCTATAAATGTCAACTCAGTCATATTGATTGATCTGTTCAGGTCGTTCATATCCTTATTGTTTTCATCCTTTTCAAATTATACTCACTTTTAGCAACTAGTAAACAAGACAATAGAAAAGAAAAGTAAATAAAAACCTAAATTACACTTAAAGCTTATATTGTAGAAAACAGATTTCCATGCATGCTTTCCATGCAGTTTTTAGTTTTTGTCTATTACCTCTCTCTAACAATGAAGAGGATGTATGAGAGGAAAAGCTGGGTGAGAGGGTGAACTAGAAACACAGAAGAAAATGTTGAAAGGAAACACCAATCACATCACTAGTCTGAGATTTTTCCATATTCTAAATGATAATTTCATGCCTATTGGAAAAAAAAAAAGCTTATTGACCAAGGATTTTATCTTTTAGCTCTCTTCTTGAGAATTTATAATTTTTAAGGAAAAAGTAATAATATAACTCTTAAAGAGATCATCTATCATCTTGTGTTTTGAATTGACCCTATTTTCACTTGAAAATACCACAAACTCATGGTTATAGAGTTGGAAAGGTAACTATAGTACAGAAAGTTTGGCTGATTACATAGCGTTATAGTTTTAACAGCTGCTTCAAAAGCAATCAGACTATTTGGAAAAACTTTTTCATAACAAACGTGCTCTTCCTTTAAAATGTAAGCACTGAGCCAACCTAAGAAGCAAACATTGACTGCATACTTATATCGTCAGTTGTTGTAAGTATTTTAGTTATAACGATGCAAAAACGTGAAGCATAGGTTTACTTTTTAACTCCAATCCTGTTCAAAGATCACTTATTGGCCTCTGAAGGAACAGGTGGCATGTCTGTTATAGTTTAACAAGTGGCCTTTAGGTGAGGTATAGCATTCAGATGCCTCTGGATGCTTTGGATGCTCTCATGTGTGGCAGGGTGCACTTGCTAAAACATTCTCCTCTCCAGATCTGGAAACCTAGAGTCTATATCTTAGGCACTGGGCAAGTATTCCAGACTTCCCTTCTGAGTCATACATGAAAAATGCCATCTTGCAACTGAGACAGCAATTCTTTTGCAAGAAATCACATTCTTAATTTCCTAATGCTGACATAAATATTCCAGTTCTTGGTAAACAAGATAGCTTTTCTGTTTGCATTATACATCTGAGAAGTCATCTTTTTGATAACAGAATTTACAGGGAATTTTTTTCTATCAGAGGAACCGTTAATTATACTAGGTTCCTCAAAGAATTCCAGATTCACTTCAGATACTAGCAACTCAATTCTATTCCACTACTCACATCTGTTGGGTTGTGATTAATTGAAATTGTATTATACTTATAGTTAATTTTAGGAATATTTACATCTTTAGGGAATTGAGTTTACAATTTTATGAACATGGTATAACTCTCCATGCATTTAGGTCCTCTTTAAGATATTTCAATAAAGTTTTACAATTTTTTTCATAAAAATCTTGCCAGTATTTTGTTAGATTTATTCCTACACACTATTTTTGGTTATTTTTATAAATGATATCTTTGTTAAAATAATATTTTCTAAGTCTTTGTTGGTGGTGTAAGGGAATGTAATTGATTTTTTTGTATATTGATCTTATATCTAGCAACCTTACTAAATCCTTAGTTCTAATAATTTGTAGTCTGTTGGATTTTTCTGTATAAACAATTGTATCATAAGCATGTAAGTAAAGTTTCTTCTTTTCCAATCCTTATAACTTTTTTCTGTTTTTCTTTTCTAATTACACTGGCTAGAACATTTAGTACATTTTGAATAGTCACAATATTGGAGGACTGGTGATTTCCCTTATTATCTTGTGAGGTAAGCTATGTGTTTAAAAGATTTTCTTTTCTTTTTTTCTTTTTTACTCAGCACTAGGTGTTTGGTACTAAGAGAATTCAAGCTATCTAATCTGCACTATTGCTAGAGTCATATCCTAGCTTTAATCATTTCCTATATCTTTACTTCTTCTACTAGTTGAATTGCTCTTTATACATTTTCTAAGTCCATGTTTTAAGTTCACTTTTCTTATTTCCAATGGTGTATTTTTGTGAAATTGAGTGTTGATTGTGAATCAATTCTCTACCGAGAACTTGTCTTTATCTTTTCATTCAAATTTCTTCTTAATACTTGTTGATTCCAGGAAAAATTAATTAAAAAAATAAAATTATTTTTAAACACAATGAGATGACTATGAGTCTAACACTCATAGTGTTAGTGACTCATAGTCACTCATAGTGAAGTATTCTTTATTTCTTCCTACAATGTGTCCAATACTTCCAAACATGCAGGTTGCTTTCTTGCACAACATCAGAGGGACCATTCACATCATTGTCTCTGTGAATGGCATGTCCTGGAATTGTGCAGTGCACAACCTGCAAGGCTGATGTGGTAGCCTTGCCTGCGTATTTCACTTTTCTGTCTAATTAGGATTGTGGGGTGTCTCTCAAGCAAGTAGTTATAATTTGCTACTGTCTAACTCCAAAAATTACCCTAAATGTGTTTCAAAAAGACTCTTCGGCTGCAAGCAGAAAAATATTTTGTCTGAGAGACATGTTACTATAATATAGCTTTAGTAGGGCAATCTCCTTCTTCTACCCCATAT